ACCCTTTTTGTGGCCCCGCCGCCGACGAAGTCGTTGAACGCGTGCACGGCCGAGACGGTCGCCATGTCCGCGTACGCCTCGTGGTCCGCCTCCACGTCCATGGCCGCGAAGAGCTCGGCGACGGACCGCGTGCCCGTGTAGGGCGTGCCCGTGACGAGGAGCGGCAGGATCTCGCCCGCCGGCGGCCGCCGCTTCATGCAGTCCGCGTCCCAGAGGCGGCCGTAGACGTACTTGTCGCAGGAACGGTCCTCGACGTGCCAGCCGCCGAAGCCGTGGAACCGCTTCACCATCTCGGCGCTCGTGAAGCCGGACGGCACGAGCGATACGTTGCCGGCGGCACTGGCGCCGGCGGCGACGAGCAGGGCTGCCACAATGGCGCGGCCGACGAAGCCCATAGCTCGCATACTCGCCGTTGAAGTCGACATTGACGAGCTCGAGCTCGACTTCGGAGCGCGCTCAGCGCATGCGCTAGCTGCAATGTGTGTGTCACGGCGCGTCGTCGCGCTCCTGGCGCTCTGCCAACGGTCGCTGGCCTTCGCGGCGCCGCGCGCGCGAGCGCAGCGCCTCCGATCGCTGCGCGGCGACGCCGTCGACGGCCCCGTGGTCCTCGTCGGCGAGGGCAAGTTCGGCGACGAGACCGCGGCCCTCGCGGCGGCGTCGGCGGCGGAGCTCGGCGGGCGCGTCCACCAGTTCCGCGGCCAGGGCGACGCCCTCGCGACCCTGCTCGGCGCCTGCGGGCCGCGCGACGTCGTCCACTGCGTCGACGGCGCGCTCAACAAAGCCGACTGGCGCGCGGTCGAGCGCGCCGACCTCAGCGTCTGGGTGCGCTGCGTCAACGAGTTCGGCAACGACAACGTCGGCGAGATCTTCCGGGAGAACGCCGCAAAGACGCGCTACGAGGTCGCGGCCTGCGGGCCCTACGCGGACCCGGACGCGTCGGACGTCGCGTCGCGCGCCGCGTGGGGCGGCGGCGCGAAGGAGGTCGCGCGGCTCGCGCGCTTCGGCAGCGCGCCGCGCCTCGCCCGGGAGCGCGTCGACCTCGAGGCGGGCCACGACACCTTCTTCGTGTCCCTGACCTTCGACGACTACGGGGAACAGGAAGCGAGAGACTGCGTCGCGGCGCTCTCGAGGGACGCCGCGGTCACCGCGCTGGAATTCCGCTGCGACCTGCTGCGGTCGACGAACCCGGGCAACGTGCTCCGCGAGCTGAGCCGCGTGCGCGCCGCGAGCGCCGACTCCTGGCGCGGCGGCCCCGCGAAGGTCATGTTCACGGTGCGGTCGACGTCGCAGGCCGGCGCGTATGCCGACGACGACGCCGCGGGCATGGAGGCGCTCCTCCGCCTCGGCCTGCGCGCGGGCGTCGACTGGCTCGACGTCGAGGCGCGGACCCTGTCGAAGAAGGTCTGCCGCGAGCTGAAAGCGGAGGCGGCGAAGCGGGGCGCGACGCTCGTGCTCGGGTCGGACCACGCGCTCGGCGCGCGGACGGCCCCCGCGGACGCGCAGAAGATGATGGCGTCCATCGAGGCCAAGACCAAATGCGACGCCGCGAAGCTCGTCCTCGACGCCGCGGCATCGGACGACGTCGCGGCCGCGGCGGCGTGCGCTTCCGACGTACCGGGCGGGCCGCCGCGCGTCGCGCTCGCGCTCGGCGACGCGGGCGTGGCGAGCCGCGTGCTCTGCACGCGCTTCCTGCCGGCGTCGCACGAGCTGCTGCCGTCCGCGGCCGCGCCGGGCCAGATCTCGCCGAAGACGGCGTTGGCGCTGCGCGAGACGCTCGGCGTGACGCGGAGGCGCGACTACTTCGTGCTGCTGGAGAGCGACTTCGGGAGCCGGTCGCCGGCCATGCACAACGCGGCCTTTCAGGCCTGCGGCCTGCCCCACGTCTACGGGGTCTTGGACTGTGTGGAATTCAACCACTGGTTTGGGTGGTCCTGACCAAACTT